AACTCTGCAATTTTCTACTTGATATCATCCCTTTTACCACTAGACACACTGGAGAAAATATTACAAGGGAGATTATATGCATATTAGATGAATTCAATATTTCTGGTAAAATCATTGCACTAACCACAGATAATGAATCTGCAATGGTTGTATGTGGAATAAAACTTGATAGTCAATTTTCTTCAATGACTTTTGCACATTATCGTTGTGTAGCACATGTTTTAAACTTAGGTGTTAAACAAGGATTAGAACTAGTTAGTGGTTCAATTAATAAAGTACATGAATTAATGAGTAAAATTAAAATTTCAACTCTCCTCTGTGATCAACTTCGTGGCTTTTGTGCTTTAAAACATATCCATGATTATAAACCAGTTTTGGATGTGGAGACCTGCTGGAACTCAACTTACTATATGCTAAAACGTTTGGAACAATTTGAACCAGCATTGGTTTTACTTGCTGCTAATAATAACAACATCAAGAATCTTTGTCCTAATAAAGATGATTGGATTATAATTAAGGTAAATTGATATTAGTAATTTTACCACAAAATGAATTATAAATAAATTATAAATAAATTTGTGTTACAACGGATTTTAAGCTTCACATATGAAAACATTGAAACTAATACTCATCATACTCTATAGGATACTCTCTCACTTCTTGAAATCTTTGAACAAGCCACAAACCGCCTTTCAGCATCATTGTATTCAGCTATGGGAAAAGAAGGCTTCACACAGAGTGAAATGGTGGCATCAATATTTCAAAAAATTGAAGAGTATTGGCAAATTATGAATAGTTCATCAATTGCTTCAGCAATTTTAGACCCTTGAACCAAACTCTCAGTCTTTTCAGAAGGAAATAGACAAAATGCTTGTGAACATATTCAAACAATTTTTGAAACTTACCAGAATTCTTCCAATACACAATCTCCTGCAAGAAGACTATCATCATCTACATCTATCACAAATGCAACTCGTCAACTTTTCACACAACTTCTTCATAACCCAACACCACAAAATGCTTCAGCACCTTTAATATCAGAATTAAATCATTATCTTGCATTACCAATAGATGAAGAAACAGAACCTCTATTATGGTGGCAGGCA